GTCTCTCCTTGTGGGGGAGTTGGGCGGTGATATAAATTTGATTTATAAATAAATAAATAAATCTTATGCCAATGTAATCTGCAAGTGAAGAGATAGACAAATACTGGTAGATTTCTGAATATTTGCTTCATTGTGCTTGCTGTTTGGTTTATACAAGCTTTTCCACTGCTTTCATCATGTTTAATATTTGGTTAAATTGCTACAAGATCAAGGAATTACTGGTAAAGAAGGTTTTTAGTTACAGAGAAAATCATTTCTTTTGTCCTCTCAGTGCTATATATGATTGATATTTCTCCTGAAGGGCTTCCAGAAAGCTGTTAATTATCTGTTGGATAGATATGTAACTCATCAGTTGTGGAAGCTGTATACATCTTGAAAAAAGGAATCAAGTTCATATCATTTAAGGGTCCTTGGAAATCACTGCTGAAATAAATATCCCTGTTGATAATATCATTATCTTATCCTATCTTCCCTATCACAGTTTTTCTACAACTTGAGGACTTTCAGATGTATTGAATTAAACTTTCACAATGCTACTGGCCATGCTTGCTGGCCATTCTGAGAGCTGCAGTCCAGCATATCTGATTGCACCAGGTTGGAGAACCCCTCTCATAAAAGTAAAATGGTTAGGTTCGTCCATATGAGTTGCAAATCTCTACACACTGCCTAATCAGAGCCAGGAATTTAGCATGGAAGAACAACATTGTACTTTAATGCATCTTCTAGACTGGAACTTCCATTATATAATGAACATTTGTAGGTAAGAGACAGCTGAATCTAATGCTTGATGAAAAAACAGAGAAAAATGTATATGGGCCACTGAAATACCTATAGCTCCTACAAGATGACAGTAAAAGAAGAGTTCAAACACGCCACAAATTAAGATATTCTTTACAATCAAGTGAATTAAGCAAAGAGTTATCAAATCTATAGATAGGTTTTAGCATACCCAACATTGTGAACTAGGAATATACAGGAGCAAGTGATGATGTGAATATTTGCAAATGCCATTCTGGGACAGTAGTCACTCAATATGTGGAAACCATTTTCAGTGGCCTGTCATGAATAACATAATGCAACTACAGAGATCAACAGTTTCTATTGATTATGTTGATTTCCTTGGGTGAAAAGTCAGTGCTTATATCTGTATATGAGAATCTGTCCATGCTTTTCCAATATCAGTGATTAAGAGAGAATATTTCATAATAAGGAAAAGAACCCACAATGCATGTGGCCAGTTTTGCAAGGTTGCTGATGGAGGAAGTAAAAGGTTTAATGATCTGGGCTTTTTCTTTATTGCACATAAAGTCACTCAGATCTAAAAAATGTTAGCATGCGGTAAATTCCAGACAAGGAGCTAGTCTGGACACAGACATATACTCCAGTGTTTAAACAGTATAGTTTAGGTTTAAATTAGAAGATGCTTTGAATCTGTCCTTTAAACCTTGGTTAGTACATTCATCTGTGCTCCCTGAACACCAGTGTCTGCTTCTTTTTAATAATTTAAAATGTGAGGTGCTTCTTGAAGAGTTTATTGGTGCTCAGCCTGTCTAGATTCTGTTTTCTGCATATACTAATGTATGCCAGGAAAATTGCCAGTACAATATACACTTATGGAACCCTTGCTACACTAGCTAAGATTACCAAAGTTTAATCACTTGGCCTTACTGACACACATACAATGTATTTCCTCACCTTTCTGTTCACAGTATACATCTTCACCTCTACTTGTACAAATTAGCCCTTTGCTTATGTTCCTCCTCATTAACTTCTTGGTTCCCTTCACAGGAACGTCCTGTAGAAGTGGGTGACTGGCGTAAGAATGTGGAGGCCATGTCAGGAATGGAGGGCAGGAAGAAGATGTTTGATGCTGCCAAATCACCAACAGGACAATGAGAAGTATACCCTTTTGCCCAATGCCATCCTTTTAAAGCATTTTATCAGTTTTGTGGAGTATTGCAGAGGGTCCTGAACCCAAAGAGATTATGGTTCCTAAGTAACACTTCCAGTATCAAGATCCTGGATACTTCTGATTTAATGGCCAATTCAGTATAAAAACATTAGGCCTTTATTTTAGCACTATAATCAGCCCTGTCTGCTTACATGAAATAGTTCTTTGGGGGAAATAACAGATTTTCTGCCCAGCAATTAAATGAGACTGGCTGGTCTCAAAAATCTAAGCAGGGTCATACTTGGGAGATCACCAAGAAATGCCAGCACAATAGGCTAGACTTGAAAATAAAAAAGAAATCCTCCCAAAAGCAATGGCAAATCACTTGTTTACTGATGCCAAGGATACTACATGAACGTTTCCCTGAAGTTATAACAAGTCAAGTTTACTTAAAGAAGGCTTTAATTTATTTACCTCATATTGGATTTCCTGTAAAGTGCACTGTAGTTTTGCATCTTGTCTTAATTAAAAAAAGAATGTAGTCTCCAAAGTTTAGAAATAGGAGGTATACCATCATGCCATTTAAAAGCGTTCATGAGCATGAACGACCCATCAGAACTTTGGCTTGCTGGTTCAGTTATGGACATTCCAATTATGGCACAATGGCTGAGTGTCAGAGACAACAGCATGCAATAAATTTTCTGAAACATGCACTTGGTCTTGGGCACAAATTTGCACAAATCTTGTTTGTGTTTCACCTTCCATTCAGTGCCAGAAACAATAAGCCAAATCTCATCCAATTCTGGTAGAACAAACCAACGATTTTTTGGTATCTAGTCCTAACCCTAGCCAGTTTTCCCAAATGATTTATCACAAAATTAGAAATGCAGTTCACTACTATGTACTCTTTCCTTAGAGTTATATGAAATGGAGGTGTACAGTTCAGAAGCCAGCCCTTAAAACTCTTTTATTTCTTTTTTGCAAAATAAAACTATTCATTGGGAAACTCCTTAGTGTTCATTACACGGCTAAATAATTGAAAAGGAAACCTTGGTTTGGACAAGGGAAAGTTGTTGTGACCCTATAAACATAAGCCTGATTCTAGTGCTGACCCTGTTCTAATTTAGCCAAAGACTTAAATGTGAATAGCTGATTTTGTGGGATGGGTTTAACAAAAACACAAAGTCAGTTTATTCTTAAGAAGAAATAGTCTTTTCTTGTGAAGCTAGGGGTCATTTTAAAAAGCCATTTTATTTATTTATTTTATTTATTAAATTTGTATGCCACCCATCTCCCCCAGAGGGTGACTCTGGGCGGCTCACAGAGTAAAACCAGAAAAAATTAAAAAAATAAATACCAGCATTAATTAATTAAAAAGTCAGACTATATAAAAAAAACCCCATACATAAAAAGACTAAAAACATTCAAGATGACGGGGGGTAGAATCAATTATCCCACAATCCACTTCCACTGGTGCGAACCCCCATCCGGCACCCAGGCCATCTGGCATAGCCAAGATTTCACATTCTTCCTGAAGACCATGAGAGTGGGGGCACACTGCACCTCAGGCGGTAAATTGCTCCACAGAGTGGGGGCCACAGCAGAAAAGGCCCTTTTCCTAGATCCCACCAGTCAAAATTCCTTGACTGGTGGGGTCTGCAACATGCCCCTTCTGCTGGACCGAGTGGGTGGACTGATATAATGGGGGTGAGACGGCTCCTCAGATAACCTGGTCCTGTGCCATGAAGGGCTTTAAAGGTAATAACCAACACC